AAAAAAAAAAAAAAAATGGTGCTACAGGATTTTGAGCTAGTGTTATAAGATAGATAGGGAATTTCCTAAAATGTACCGACTTTCAAAGGCTTGCATTCGGTAACCCCATAGAAAATCGTGTCAAACTTTACATATTCCGATGTAAATTTGGCCGTTCTTTTCATTTATGGGTTTTCACTTATGAAAATGTCTCAATTATGTGTAAAATAACGATTTGCCCCAGTTTTTATTTCGGAAATTTGCACTAGACAGGGAGTCAGCTGATTCACTCAACCGTAACGAGCTGGTAACGAGACACTGATGAGAATGGTCGTCACGAGCGGAAAATTGAAAAATTAGGACTGGCGAAAATATTCAATAACAGGCCCGTAGCCAGGGGGATTTTTATGGTTCGGGTGACCCCCCTTTTCTAGCGAACCCCCCTGTTTTTTAGCGAACCCCCTAGAATTTTTGAATGAGTCCCACTCGGACGGAATGTCTGTTTTTAACTTTTACCCAGCATTAAATCAAAATTTAGCACCTAATTCATTATTTGGTCACCCGTTTTTAAATTGTGACAGTACGGTAGTTTGTAATACACATTCCCTTGTTGTACAGTATGACATGTTTCATTAACATAACATACACTGAGGATCGCCAACAAATTGGGTGGGTACAGCATTCAAAATTGTACGATATGGTGAACTATTTCGATTAAAATGTTGAAAGTGATTATATAAGAATTAGATGAGTCACTGTCAATAAAACAATTCGCGGAAGAGGAGTATTCAAAATATCGGTACTATTAATATGGGACTAATCAGATGACTGACGCCGTAATACACTAAAGAATATTTACACTCACAATTTAAAAAAAAAAAAAGTTACCAACAACGACATCTAAATAGCTGTGGGAAAAACAAATATCAGCCTGCTACTCTCTGAATAGTGATCATAACTGAACAATAATGATGCAGCAACATGCTTGGTCAACTTGTAAAAAATTCAGAGCCTTCTGTTGTTTGCCCATAAAACAAATGTTGGAGTGTTATACAGTACAATTTCAAAACATTGTCATCGTAAAGAAACAGCTATAGTATTGAAAACTAACAACTTGAAACAAAATCGGTGTACGGATTCAAATAAATATTTACAATAGATTTTAATGGTCAACTTGTTATCAAATTTTACAACCAATTTTTACATACATTTTTGTAAGTGACGGTGTGTGTTAGACATGCAAAACAAACATTAGCGGTTAGCTGTATAATATCTTTGAATATCATTTTAGACCGATTAATTTATATGCTTGGTCATCTTGTAATCATTTAGAATTCAACAGTTTTTAGTGATAGGGTTCGTATCTCTACACTTCTTAGACGTGTATAAAATTTTAGTTGCCATGGATAGACCCGGTTTCATACACACTCGCATAAGTAAATTTCAAAAGAAACTGTTTTCCCCATTTTTCTTATTGTTAAATACTCCTATGCAATACTGTAGGCCCTGGTATAAAATTGTATCTGTAAAGATCGATTATGCCTTTTTATATAATATTGTAGGCCGGCCTAATGTGTGTGAAGTACTGACTTTGTTAATATCGAATGGGTGAAATTGCGCAAAAACTTCAAATTCTTGTCCTAACATACAATGCCAGAGGAAAGGATATCACGTTTTAGTCACCAAAAACGATTTTCCACGGACGCACAGAGTAGGCCTTAATAGTAGGCCAATGGCCCAAAACGAACGAGTTTCTGGTCTCAAAAAACCCAGACACTTCGTTAAGGCCTGTACAGTACAAAATACTGTAGGCCTACAGTTTATAATTCATTGAAAAAGCTTTAAAATGAAGGACTTTTAAATGAAGAATATTTTGAGAATCTTGAGTTTTTAAAAGCAATCATTTTGTTAATTATTATTGGTTGGCCAAAAATGGCTTGGAAAAATGTGCCGAGATACATTGGCAATGGTTATATACAGTATAGTTTAAAGACTAATTTTCGGCATTCTGCTCGGAAACACAACCACCTGCACTAGGCGTTTCCCTGCTGGTTCCATGCTGGATCAAAAACAGTAGAGGGTCAAATGTCCAGCCATTTTGATGGTCAAAATACAGGGGCATTATTATTACTGTACATTAGAAAAGATTGAGAAACAAGATAGTCTATTATTTGTCTTCATTTGTAATTTTTAAACTAATTTTTATTTTTATATTACAAAAAAGTATTATATTAATGAAGTAATAAATTCTATTCAAAATAATTAGGTTGTGGCTATGTTACACCACTTTGCAATGCATTTGAATATGGGCTTTTCACAGTGATGGTTAATTAGAATATATAGATTTTCAACAAAAATTATTATTGATGATTAGTGCCAGAATGATTAGGCCTACTTCCTTATAAAGATATTGTACTGTAATATCAATACTAAATACTAAGAATAGTCACTCTGATTTTTTTTAACTAGTCTGTTCAAACTTTTTATTGTACTTCTCTTCTTACAGGAAATGCCGACATGATGGATATCGATGGCTTTCATGTGGTAGGATTTTAACAGGCTAAAGAAATCTG